TGTTTATGAATGAATAGTCATAGGTGCGTGGATTTTTTATAGAACAGAATGCTGGTGTAACGGTGATACTGCTGATGGGGAGGCATGCTAGTAGTATGATTTCTCGTGAATCTGCTTTGCGTCTCTTGAAAAGTGAGATCCATTGCGGAATATGTGGAGTCGCTTTGTAGCATTTACTTGGATTTAAGCAACAGTCAATACATACTTAAGAAGGTTCAGGAAGACGCGTTCAAAGGGAAGATGGATATTCAGCTTTTGTAAACAAGATGCCTATGAGAGTTTTTACTTCCCTGTCCACTACTCTGTAACTGTTCAGTTGACATTTTCTAATAAGTAACCCCGTAACGAAGGCCTTCTTCTTTTCCCTTGTAGCTCAGGTAGCGTAGGTGGCTTGTTCGCTGAGCTGGGCGATTTAATTGTAAACGTTTCATCACCAATCGAGATGACATCATCAGTACATTGTTAGGGAGCGCAGTGGTGCTTAGCGCTAGGCACGGGCCTTACTTTCCAGGACTGCTTCATACCTGTTACTCGTCTATAACTGTTAAAGTAACTTACATTGCTGACAATGTGATCGTTGACCAAACTTCACAACTGTATTGAGACCGGTAACTGTATGAAATGACAGGCACCGATATGTTTGACGTGGCAATTGGTTGCTTGAAGTAGTGTTCCTTGAAACTTGTACGCGAAGCAAGGTTTACGTTATCGCATCACTGTCAGGTTTTTCTCAAAACATGAAGCTCGTGGGGTGACGACCTACTTGGGTCTCCTTCCACCAGCACTGCGGGGCAACACTCTTTCCATCTTGATGTGTGAAAAGCCCTTGGATCGTCATTCAAAGGCCTAATCAACGATATCTTAACCCTCACCGAAGGATTAATATCGTTTGAACCCAAATGCACAGAATATAAACACGAAGACGGGACTTGAATCTGAGTGCTGTCAACTTCTTGACTACTTATTGTGCAATGCGAGTCAACTTCTACGTGAGTCCACATGGCAGAACATTCCACTATTGAAAAGCTTGATTCAGTTCCTATCCAGAGGCACTGCATTTCCCCCATCTGAACTGTCACTGAAGTTTACACAAACTACCTTCCCTGCCATATTCATTTAAGTCAGTTGCTTCTAGGTGTCTGTTCGATAACAAAGTCCCTTCATTGGATAAACCACATATGACTCCGTATCTGGAATGACGGCCGTCAGCTTGTTCGTCATCGTACTCATCATCATTGTCATCTGCAATAACCGCATACTAGTACAGTGATTGTAGCTGCCATAGTTTCGTTCACCGACGACTTGTGCAGTGGAGGCGGGACCCGATAAATTGGTGCTTAAATACGGTACGGTCAGTGGACTGTCGAGTGGAGAGATTGGGAAGGGAGCTATGCATTGAAGGCAATAGCTTGGATACATGAGCGCGATTGAGTGCGCTACTGGGCCATGTCTGACAATGTTTCTAGCCATTGATGTGGCCCGTCTCGGGGTCCCCATCCAGGAAGACGGCAATGACCAGCGCAGCTCAGTTTGCTGGTAATGACTTTCATACTTCGCTGCCAAGCCATTGTTTGACCGCCTCTGTCTCTGTTCCACCCTTCACGTGGTTTTGCGAAAAGAACTTTTCGAGGAATTCGGTCGATGGTATACGCAACACGCGGCCAAGCCAGAGAAACCTATGCAGTGTGATCAGTTCATGTATCAAGTACCATTCGACGAACTTTAGGATTGCTGATCCGGTGTTTTCACACCAGATCCGGGCAATGCTCCGAAGACATTGAGTGTCAAACATTGAAAGTCCTTTGACGCCCTCGGCGTGCAGCGGTTTCTGATCCGCATAGTAATATAAAGCGCACCGCAGCATTGTAAACACGATCCTTGACACAGAAGCTGTTGTTGTGCCTACGCCACAGGTGACGTAGGTTCACGGAAGCTGCTCTGGCCTTCCCAATCCGGATGGAAATATCATCTTTCGCGAGACCACCGAGACTGATACAGCTGCTCAGGTAAACAAACTTGTCTACTACCTCCGTCGGTTCATCCGCAAGCATGAAGATAGGGTAGAACTTTACAATTTGCAGGTATGAAGTGCATGCCGAACCACCTGCCATACTGTACCCTCGTGTCAGACTCGAGTTCTCGTCGAATTAGACCCGCAGTATCTTCTTTGATATCTCAAAACTGGTTGGACAAACAGGTTTCCGAATTTAAGGAACGTAAGAGAAGTCCCATCAGTGATCTCATGAGATTACTTTTGGCAGATGGTAGACGAATTCAACAATCTCAGGATGTGAAAACGGAATCACACGGGCCATCGTTGCTTGATCCAAGATTATAGTGACTTTGCACAACTACAAATAAGCTACCTATGATTCATTCAAAACCAACATCAAAGAGTATGCCAGCCTGATCAGTAAGCCCATGTGAACACACGTGACAGCACTTCAAAGCGGCTTGCGGAAACTCCAAAGATAATTTTACCACCAGTGAGTGAATATCTTGTCGCATGTGGTTGACTTTTGTTGAATTATTCGGTTCTTAGATTTCTTCCAGTTTTTCCTAATCGACAAATGGCTCACTGTCCTCTTACTTGCAGAGGTCGTAGGTCCTGGTGTCTATTTGCTTTCTCGGGATACACATACGCCGTCTATCTCAACATTTGTCGTCAACACTAATATTATCGCTGTTGTTTTAGCTCAGATGAAAAAGTAATTTCACAGGATGAGTAAAACTTGCATCTGAGACGCCGGAAGTGTCAGCCTCCACATGAGCACTTGTGGTGATTTCCGTGATCGATACTATATCTTGTCCAAGTGAGAACTAATCACACTGCTGCCAAACAGCTGTGTTAAACCAGAAGGTCGCGGGTTCCAAACTCATTGAGTTTTTACCAGATGTGTACTCCTGATGATTCACGTCAATGATGAACCAGCTACACAGTGCTTTTCGGCTTTTCAGCATAGATTGGCTTCACTGACAGGACGAAATCGGAGTGGAAACGAATCAACCAGTTAGCAAACAAACTGGCTTTTGCGAGGGAATCATTAGGAACCCAGCTGATTCCCTCGTTAATGATGCCGTTCTGTTTCAGTTTTCACAGTGGAACGGTTTTTAGTACATTTGTCTCCTAGGACCAGATATCATCAAATCCAAGTTGCGTTGACTTTAGTTCTTCTCAGATCGTACACGAAGACCGTGAAAAGTTGGCGGTGCCCAAGAAATGAGCTTGTCAAAAAAATCGCCAAGTCCAACAAACAGCTTGGTGCGTATTTGTCATGCAGGCCGATGAAAGTGTGGCACTACGGTAGACGGTGGAAGGTGATCGATTCTTTTCGTTTGTGTAGTGCTCCTTCTGAGCTTCACGGCATTGTGGGAAGGGGGCTAGCAGCCCAACTTTCCTGCACAATACTCAACGAAATCTGAATTGAAAATAATCAGCCAACCAAATTTATCGAAAATCAGCCAACCGCTTTGTACCCATAGAACTGCAGCGTTCCCATACACTTGAAAGTCAGTATACCCCATTCATATGTTCAATAAAATGTATGACGCGTTCACATCGAAAAAGGAACAGTTATTTCGGAGAGATCTGTATTGCCAATTAAATTGCATCACAATAGAACAGAAATTCGCTTCAATGTTTTTATTTGTTAATCACCCTGTGATACTAGCAAACCTGAACAGGCATGAAGACAAAATACGAAGGCACTAGTCCCCATGAACCTTGACCGAAATTGACAGATCGGGATAACCTCGTTAAGCGTTAGATGAATCTTATGGATTGATTTTCAATTACCACCGATCACTGTTCAAACGCACCTTGAGGCTTGAGGTGGGTATTTGATATGTCAACTGACATACCGCGCTATCGAACGTCATGAAAACTATTTACACATGTGCGTGTGTGTCGGCAATTCTTTCATTCTTAGTTATGTGAATTCCTAAACGGGCGTGTGCGAAATCTGAATGCAAGCTAAACTGTGGGCCTGAAGTGTCCTGTACGAGAAAAAACGACCAACTGTCTGGACGACAAACTCTGTGAATTTATTTATAAATACTGTCCACAGGTATCTCACGATCGCCTGTTGAGATGAACTGATGCGCTGCCAAAACACCGCACCTCGCTGCCCTGCTACGCACTGCACTGGTGACGAAAGCCTTGCGAGAAACCCTACCTACGTCAAATATTATACATAAAGATACCTTAACTGCGGAGTTTTTCAACAATCCATTTGCCAACAGCCAACCACTTCTCTCATAAGTGAAACTTTACAGTTCCGGGATATCAATAAGCGTAAGAGTTGGATGGTCTTCTACGGAGTGGCACAGAAATCTGCAGTTTCAGTTAAATGGCGCGTAGTCAAATAAGGGCGATACATCAAAAAGCACAGTTCTCTTGAAAGTTCAGTGGAAAGTTCTTCAACATTTTTTAAGCTTTTTAGGTTGGCCCGAAAATTTACATTTGAAACATGAGGCGGTCCCAGTTCATTACAATCCGTTGAAGAATACTGTAAAAGAGGAGGGCATTTAAAAGCGGCTATTAAGCGGGTGGAAGTTAGTCCTGTCGCTGAGCTTGGGAATTTGCTTGCAAACGTTTTGGTACCATGAGATGAAACATAATTTGTGAGCTCTTGGGTGGGCGACTACCCCGGTTTTCGCTCGCGTTGTAAACAGCAGTCAATATCTGTAACGTGATTGGTTGTTTCGGAACTGACCAGTCATGTTACTGATATTAGCTGCTATTTACAAACTACATAAACGCAAGCAAAAATGGAAGAACTGCCCACCCAGGCGCTCACTAACGATGTCTCCTCCAATGGTGACGAAACGTTTGCAAGCCGCCTCGGCGGAAATATAGATCGCTACCTCGTCAACAATCATATCAACAAAAGAATATGCTGTGGTCCTAGTCAACTCATAACCAAGATAGACAAGGTATAGACAGAGTATAGTAGCCCACCTTTTGTCTCGTTTTTCATTCGCATGAGCAGAAATGTCAGCATCTCGGTTGTCGACGAAACACTTCCGAGCTGTTGGTTGATCCGATGGTAGTTGATCTGTTCGCCGAGCTTGGCAACTGGTTTGCAAACGTTTCGTCCCCAGTCGAGGAGACATTGTCAGTGTGAGCCAAATGTGAACTGATCAATGGCTACCGGATAAGTCACCAAAAAGAATTCAGGTATCACCCAACTAACTGGCATGACTAAAAAAGCCTATGGAGCGAAAGGTAACTAGTTAACATGCTGTCATTGAAGCCTCTTTTGAGAGTTGGGAAACGATAAAAGCGCAACACCTCCCCTCAGTAAACGACGAGTGCAGGTCTATTGTATCGACTGGACATAAACCAACACGCCTATACTGAACAATGCGATGATGATGGAACCCACTAGCGCGCTGCGAAATAGGCCGCTTGGATAGTTTGGGTGGCGATGAAACATCTCACCTTTCGCTTGCATTCTATGGTTGTTGGTAAATGGGTTTGAGGAAGGGGTTAGCGAGCGGTCTGTGCTTGTTCACCATATCGATTCTCAGAGTGTCAGTACATTTAACAAACGCAACTTTGCATCTTCTTTGTTTCCAGTTGCTTGAGGTTGAATCATAAAAAACCACGTATGATTATTACGATATGCTGCGAACCAGTAGATGATGCCATAATAATCATCGAATAAAACATGTTCTTTTTTATTAATGCAGCTTAGGCGGTTGGAAATGTAGCCTGTGATTCCACTTTGTATTTGGGTGTCACGTGCGCGATCAGCTGTCTACATGCTACTCACTGTAGCCTACAATACTGAAAACTCTCAAGTTACTCAGCTGGTTTGACTATCACATAAAATTAAGTACCGTCAACAAGAGTTACATCCAAGCTGTGCTGTAGATGCAGCCAAAGTAAACAGGAGTGTAGTGCAATAAAGCACTTCAACCTACTGAGAGGGCTCAGCGTGTGTCCGATCAGTTTGGATCACAGAATACCAATAAACACGGAGTTATCAGGTGAGTCGTATACTGATTGACTTGCAGCGCAGGAATCCAGGGTAGGCACATCTTAGATACTTCCAATTCTCTTAGCAGATCACAGAGGCAGCTTTGTTATCGAATTAGACCAGAACTCTCGGCAGCGCTTGCAATCCCAGGTGCTCGTTTTGCAGGCAACCGAAATTCCTAGTCATTTTGAAAGCTTGTGAGGAGAAACTTCCGACTATGGGAGTTCACAACAGACAGGTGCGTGAACGTTTAGGTGTAAAATTCGGAATGCACAGAGCTCAGTTTTTGACACAAAAAACTTGTCTCAGGTACTATTTGCTTCAACTGACCCCAGTTCGGTGATCATTCTTTCGGGTCGACAACTCAGCTGTCCCAACTAACTTGGAGCTTTCATACTGCAGGTAATTTGAACCTATCCTGAAAATCCTTTTTCGAAGTCTTACGCAGGGCGATTCGAAACCTCTCAACCTTTTAGCCAGTAGCTGAACGTTATGCCACTCGGTCACCGGATATAGCGTCAATCATCCTTCAACCATATGAGTCACATGACTCGGTCACGTGTTGATTAGCATCCCAATTAATTCGTTTTCAGGAGGAAGACTCACGCTACTTATGGGATGTTTCCCTTTCTGTCGTGTTAGTAGTATGGGGAGTTTTGAGCAAAACACCCCACCGGAAAACGGAGGTCCTACAATTTCGTAGGAATCTGGTTTTGAGTTCAGTAGCATTTGGACATATTAGACGCGTCAGATCAAGAGTAAGTCGCCCTCAGTTTCCTGACATAACCCTAACTAAGGGGTTGCGGAAAATCCTTTGACCATTACCAACGGTCTCGTCTTACTCGACATCTGTCAGGCAAAACAAGGTCATCGGGTTTCCACTAACCGCATTTTCTCCTTGAGCATCAAAATTACGCAAGAATTTCGTAGGAATCTGGTTTTGAGTTCAGTAGCATTTGGACATATTAGACGCGTCAGATCAAGAGTAAGTCGCCCTCAGTTTCCTGACATAACCCTAACTAAGGGGTTGCGGAAAATCCTTTGACCATTACCAACGGTCTCGTCTTACTCGACATCTGTCAGGCAAAACAAGGTCATCGGATTTTCACTAACCGCATTTTCTCCTTGAGCATCAAATATTAAGCAAGTGATGAAATACCGCAAACAAGAAGTTCGTTTGGAAATCAGTTGGTCTCCCGTTTGTGATCAATCCAGTCTGCGAATAAATGTACCTTTCCGTTCGTTTCTGAACGAAACTCTCTTTCGAAGCCCACAATTCGTCGTTTACATTTACAACCGTAGCAGCAGGCAGCTTAGGAATCAAAAGTTTACGTTGATTTCGACAAAACTGTAGAGGTCTTGTTTTAAATGGAAGTAATGAAAATTTCTGGATTTTAGTCGTGGAACTTGAAGGAAAGTAGCCAGCTGATATGCGTGGAATATCACTCAAGATTTACATGACAGGCAGGGCCTTGAAAATCGCGGGTTAAAGTGTTTTTCTGTCCGTCACACAGCAACGGATTGGGTTCAGCACAAGATCTGAACTTGTATAGATGTAACACACTACTCATAAAGTTGCTGAAAACTCTTCGATAGCCCACGACCGATTTCGCCCTTCTTTGGGCTTGTCAGGTAGATACAGTCCCCGAGTTTCTGCTTGAACCCGAAATGGATTAATTTTGGCGAATACACTCATTTGCATATCAAATTTGTTTTGATAGGAAACTCACCTCGAACTCAGCTGAATTTCTCGTTTCCGATGTTCTTCAGCAACTGAATGTGCTGCACCAGGCCACCTCATGTTTTGATATGATATTCGATATATTGTCATACATCTACAGACGCAATACTACTTAAGTTGCACATAAGGTTCAGGGAAACATGAGGCGGCCTGGTGCAGCACATTCTAAACTAGAGATTCAGCTAGATTCCAGATGAGTCTCCCGTCAAAACCGGATCGGTGCGCAAATGAATGTATTTGTCAAGATCTGAACTTGTTTTTCGATGATAGGTCGTCAATTCGAAGGCGCTATTTTCTAGGAGCTCGACAACCAGATTTCTCAGGTTGCCTCCTAGTCATGACGATTCAAACCGTCACGTTCGCTTGCTAATCACTCAAACAGTACATTGATCAAATATTAAGCAAGTGATGAAATACCGCAGACAAGAAGTTCGTTTGCCTTTATAAGAAGGAATGAAAACACATGCTTCACAACCAGTGAGAAGGTTCTAACCTGACCAGGGCGAACAAAATCCGGGCGATTCATCTTTTTCTTTTTTTTTAAAGCGTTGTCAGGCGAGCAACTGCAACTGGCCGGAACTAAAAAACACTGAGCATTTGCTCCTACTGGTGGATCGATCAATCGATCGATTCTCCGGTCTAAGACATACGAGGCGTAAAATGTAGCGCTTGATCGACCGCACGCAAGCAGCTTGAACGAGTTAGGAAGGGATAAGGATGGCAGCCTTGACAACTATGTCGAATTTTCGCTACTATGATCCACGTTTACCCGCTGACGCCATCATAAAATGGTGTTTGTTTTTGTACACTGCGTTATGACCGTAAATCATGGCTCATTTGAATTATAGTGCTTTGAGTGAAGGGCGTCATTCGTAACCTGGTAATCAAGTCGATTCAGTAGGTCCTCCGAGCATCCTACATATCAAATTTTGAGATTTTGAGAAAACACTAAAATGTTCAATTGAGTCCTGTAAATGACACTAACATACTACGAAAAGCTGTATGAATTGTTTCACCTTGATGGATGCAAGTGATTTCTGAGGGGTGTCCATTCGGTGCTGGGATGGAGTTTTTGACCTTTGCTGTGGTAACTGCCACACTCTCGACAGTGCACAGCGCGCGAAATCTTGTGTTTGTCACTCAGTCGGTCAACACTAGTGGTGGCCACAGTGTCTCACCAGAGCTTCTTCGTCTACTGGTTCCCCACCATCTACCTTGGACGAATGCGCAGACTACAGGAAGGATTGCTCTTACATTTGTTTGAGCTCAGCATAGTCCGTTGAAAAAGGTGCCATCTGATTTGATGAGTAATTTCCTTTAGTATATAGGCTCCATGTGATCATCCACCTAATTCCTGATTGCACCCTGCGAGCCTTTCACCTATCTGCATCACGGTAAGACAGGGAGTTTTCTTTTCTAGGCTTGCCGTGGGGAGTGACCTCAAGGTTGACTCATTTACTCTGATGGTCATGTTATCGTCCTTAATGTGTCCTCACCATTGAAGGACGCGTACTAATCCAGGATAGGCAGTCCATTTCAAACAAACCGGAAATTACGGGCGTCAAACTCCTGTTAGTTGTGCACATGAAACAATTGGCCCATTTGTTTAAATCAGCCGGAGTGGACGTGTGACAATCGAACGAACATCGATCGGAGACAGGAGACGCGTGATCAGCTGAGGGTCAGTTACACTGAAATTGGAAGTAAAGAGAGCGGAAAAAATTTACACGATGAGATGCGAAAATTGGAACTATTCTCACTTCACCAGCTTCCCACGCTAAGGAATAGTCTCCCGCACGAGAAAAACCATCGTCCTCTGTCTTTCCAGAGTGTTGTGTGAGTGTGGTTATTTAGACTCGATGTGCGAGTTGAAACGTGACAGATGGATACTGGGCACATTTTCAGAACTTGGGTCATACACGTGACCCAAATAAGAGAAGCACGTGGTATTCTGTGGTCGCGGGTTCGAGAGTAGTGTGCAGGGGCGACCAGTGAGAAGGGATCTTGGTGAACCGAAGGATTCTCGTCTTAGATTTCCCCGTAGCTATCAGCTAACTGTTTGAATAGTCATCAAGAAGAGTAAACCGTATAAGTATAAGCTGGTTGTAGCATCTGATCACAACTGCGTGTGAACAAATGTGTGAGGGACACTGCAAGGGATCAGCGCAACAAGACAGGAACCTCCTGCAAATGCGATTTCGATGTATTGATTCATGCAATTTTAACTGAGACAACAAACCTCATGGAACAAGCTCATCAATGCTATTGGTTATACATTCAATCAGGAAACTACACCAGTGAATACGATGGGGTTGACTTGAGTTGAGGCTTTCCTTTTGTTCAAGTTCACGGGGGCTGTTTTCATCGTCCGGCTCCTGTGTTGCGTATAGTTGCGGACTTGCTTCGTTGCCTGACTGCTTGGATGTATAAGTTGATTGGGACCCAATATCCTTGATGGAAAGTGTATTACCTACTCAGCATCCATAATTCGTGGCTATTCTCAGAGCTCTGACCGGGTAAGTGTGTGAGCCGAGTTCAACGTGGAACTAGGCGTTAGGTGGTAAAAAGTGCCTTGTACAGCCCTCGCTGGTTGTTCCCTATCCTGCTAGCTTCATAACTGTTTGAATAGTCATCAAGAAGAGTAAACCGTATAAGTATAAGCTGGTTGTAGCATCTGATCACAACTGCGTGTGAACAAATGTGTGAGGGACACTGCAAGGGATCAGCGCAACAAGACAGGAACCTCCTGCAAATGCGATTTCGATGTATTGATTCATGCAGCTTTAACTGAGACAACAAACCTCATGGAACAAGCTCATCAATGCTATTGGTTATACATTCAATCAGGAAACTACACCAGTGAATACGATGGGGTTGACTTGAGTTGAGGCTTTCCTTTTGTTCAAGTTCACGGAGGCTGTTTTCATCGTCCGGCTCCTGTGTTGCGTATAGTTGCGGACTTGCTTCGTTGCCTGACTGCTTGGATGTATAAGTTGATTGGGACCCAATATCCTTGATGGAAAGTGTATTACCTACTCAGCATCCATAGTGCGTGACTATTCTCAGAGCTCTGACCGGGTAAGTGTGTGAGCCGAGTTCAACGTGGAACTAGGCGTTAGGTGGTAAAAAGTGCCTTGTACAGCCCTCGCTGGTTGTTCCCTATCCTTGCAGCTAGCTTCAGTCAAGCAGAGGTTCGGATTGAGGAAAACCAATGAAATTAATAACGATATCGATTAATTGCATGCTAATATCGAGAAGACCACTCGAGGCCTCATATTCTCGGGCTGGATCATGCATTCCTCGGTATGGATAGATAGATAGTTTCTTTTGGGAAGGCAGTCGTTCAGAGACGAACTTGAGGTCATTGTATTCGTAGAGGACAACTGACCCACCAGAATTTTTGCAGTCTTGAAGCATTTGTTAAGGTTTCGTTAACCACCCATTAAGATATATCGTACGGTGCATGCACTATGCGAATATTGGTTGAGCGTCACTGCGGCAAAGTTTGGCTCGGTGGTTGTGTCGTACCAGTAACTTGTAAGTTACGCTTGCGGCATTTCCAGACTGTCGCATTTCCAGACTGTTACAGTGATCAGTAGGTTAAACTGAAACGTCATTATCATTAGCCGTCCACTTTGAACGCTTTGTAGTACATCTGGGTGACAGATTTGTTTACCGATACCTGTCAAGCTTCCAAAGAGGGTTTGCTGAAACACCTAAGCAAATCCTGTGCTGATGGTTACAGACACATGATTAAAGAAGGATTGATCCGCGCACACAGGCGGAGGGCCTAAGGCAAGTAGTGTCACACAGTGCGCGCGAACACAGCTAGGAGGTCTGTCAAAACCGCTTTGTGAATCACACAAAAATAATCCCGCCACAAGGAATGCATTTTGGATTTTTGTGAGCTGACAAAGTGCGATTGATCTGGAGCACAATACTATGAAGAAATAGTACAGCAAAACTCCTCACGTGGTTTAACTCGTGAACAGTTCACTGGAACTAACTTCGTGACGTAAGCGAGCCGTGGAAATGGTCAAGATAGAATTGTTGAATGGTTTTCCGGATCACGTGAACGTTTGTTTAATTGACATGCGTCAGATGTAACGATGAAGCAACGCAGAATCTGGGTCTGGCACTACTAAGTCAGGCATGTTTATTCCTCAAGAAATGAACCACTTTGTGGAGATTGCCACTCCACTGAAGCAAACCGCGTGTTTATTCACAAACTGATTGGATATTTAAAAGACTGTCCGTGACGACATTATGGTGATGACGATAATGATGATGATGGTGATGATGATGATGATGATGATGAAGAGGCCGTACACTGTTGTAAACTTGGTTTTTATACACGATGTTTCCTTGTGAACATATTTTAACACATGATAGATGCAACCACAAGTTTTGAGTTTCAAGTGAACGCTATTCATGTCAGTGTTGAACGAATTGCTGACAGCTCAGTCATAAAGAGCTCATAATTTTCGGGCGACGACGGCGGGGAAAACTGGAGTATAGAAAGTATTTAGCTGTCTCCTAACTAAGCTGATGCGCGCTACAAGGGAAGAATGTACAGATAGTTTTGGATGAGCTGAACAGAATCACCCCACCCTGGCATGTGCTTTGTGGCCGCAAATTATGAGGTCATGCTGCTGGAAATTCAATCACCAGAGAAGCATGTGAGGTTACCGAGTGCCTTGTATATCTTGGGAACTGTACAAGCTCCAAATGCAGTCCACAGTGGGGCCACTACACGGTTCCCCCAGTCTCACAGCGCGTTTGCTAATTTTTTGATTCTCCCAGAGCGATCTGGCGGCATACCTCTTCTCCTCGAAGAACGTAAAAATACGTATAGGCTGTGGTCGTTAGACCTGGCCGGTGAATAGGTGGTGTTTGATCTATTAGCTGAGCAAACTGATGATGTCTACTCGAAAACGTTTGCAAAACGTTTGCATGCAAATTTAAAAGCTCCGAAAACAGAGCAGCCGCCACCTTATCAAAAAGACTATTAATGCACCGGAGCTACCAGTGAAAGGAAGGACTTCGCTGAGGAGTTATTTATCACGAAATGCCAACTGACTGGTTACAGACCATTGAACAGGGAAACGCAACTCTAATTTGCAGCTTATTTACAAAAACTGGACACCCATATTCTCCTGAACGCGTCTCTTGAACTTTCCTGGAGATTCATTGACTCCAATCATTCGTCGCTCAAATCCAAGCGAACGTTTCAAAGTGACTCCACGAATTCAGCAACAGATCTCCCCTTTTCAAAAGACGAAAAGCGAAATTCTAAGAAAAACACATACTGCTCGCGTGCCTCCCCATCAGTAGTATCACCGTTACACCAGTAATTCGGCACACTGCCAAAGTGGGCTGTGTGACCAACGGAACTGAGACGTCTTCAGGTTTTCGATAGCTCAGTGCCGGCGAATCTAAGAGACAATTAGAAAACCGACTTCCGATTATCCAAAAGTCACTTCAATCGAGGCATGTGTCTAGCGCTGTCGTGACCGCGTATTGTGAATGCCAGTTGATGATCTGTCGAAAAAACTTGTGTTTTGTTGCCCACTTCAGAGTGGCTGAAGCAGAAATGTACTCAACTGGCAGAAGGGTATGTAAATAATGACCAGAAGTTTGGGTACGCGACGCGTCGTCCAGAATGGGGTTCACATGGTTGGAGCCTCTGTTATATATGGTTGCTAATCGATGTTCGAGGCGTTGTTGCTGTCATCGTTTTCCTTCCAGATTGTCCGAATGGGGCCCTGAATATGGGGACCTCTGAATGCCTGTTGTAGGCTTACACCCGGCACTGAACACAAAGAGCTGTTTGTGGGAACACAAGGAAGCTGACTGGTTTTTGAACACGGTACGGTAAATTGCAGGAATTTTTATCGACCTAACTATCGTTGGAAGTTGATAAACTACTTAAATAAGCTAATGTAGACCTATCTTTCGGGTGATCATTCACGAAAACACCAAAGGCGCATATAATATGTAGACGTTCTAGAACAGTAGCGGTGGCAGGTTACAGACTGATCACTGGCATTGGTAAGCATATCGCTTGTCTCAGCCGCGACGCCCCGTCTGGTTAGCATTTGTTACGGTATCCTATGAATTTGCGGTCGAAGGACAGAAATTTTTCGACAAATGCACCTGCTTGCATGTCAATTTGGTTTTCACGAGAGGTCTCTCGTTAATGACTCTTTCAACTGGATGTACCGCACAAAGGTGGCCTCACGCTTCAGTTAGTACGATAGTTGAGATATCGCATTATATATATCCACGCTCAGCAATGTTTCTTAGTTTCTATTTTTCTGTAAAGTAGTACAAAACCACGCCTATTTTTCATCATCTTAACCTGAGAGATAATAGTAAGCTCTGTTGAAGTCTACTCGAAAGAGCCAACTAAGACAGACCGCCGAAACATCAAAAATAAACACAAAATCCACGTTTTCCCATGAAAAAAACACTTAGTTGCACACTGATTTGACTTTAACGACTCCCCATAGTGGTTCCTAGCTGAATCGATCGTTCACGAATCTCTGAAACTGAGTGTGATGTGCACAGGCAATAGAATTCAGTGGTTCCTAGCTGAATCGATCGTTCACGAATCTCTGAAACTGAGTGTGATGTGCACAGGCAGCTTCATGTTCTTAGCTCCTAAGGTTTTTAGAAAACTCTTCGACAGTCCACGACCGGTTTCTTTCTTCTTGGGGTTCATCAGGCAGGCATAGTGCCACAAATTCTATCGAGGAATGTCAAAAGATATAATCTAGCGTGACTCAATGTCTGAAGTACGACACGACTTGTTCGTGCCTCCCTACTGTGTGGAACTAAACAAATCTAACGCTAAATGGCCAATAAGGAGACCGTTTGAAATAAAGACCTAGCAACAACCCACCATATCCCCTGAGTGGACGCAGCGATCTAACGGTTCACGATGATGCCAGGACCCGCCCAGACATGGAATAAGTATATGTGCAGAGAGTGACGCATCCCTAAGGTCACCATCGGTACGGCACGTCCGGAAAGCAGGTGCGTTGGCGGAGCTCACCAAACACGAATTAGCAACATAAGACCATTGGAGTGGGGCTGAAAGTGTTCACGACCGGAACAGCGCCATTGGCTGTACAGAACGAACAAGTGAACGACCATATTTGGCCATTTAGTCGTCCTGTATATTTGCGCAGAAGCACTGTATGTTTTATCCTGACTATACAGCCGTGTCCAGGGTTCTCTGTCTTCTCCTTATCGCGTAGTCTGGCAGGCTCAGTGAAGGCGTAACCAATGGACGGCCACCCACGATACAACACATGACCAGCGTAGTAGCGGTGTGTGATTGGCCTACCAAGCGTCGAAAATTCTGGTACGTTGGAATTTGCCGCCTGAATCCCTTTTGCTTACGGGCATGCTCGAAAGAATTTTAAGAGCAGATCTTCAAACCCCACCTAAGAACCATTTACAGCTGACCAGTTACCACCAGATCACAAAGAGAGACTGTTGCAACTGTAGCCACCCAATCACCCACATACTTGACTGTTCGGCTCACAGTCGCTCACTCGATCACGAGACTTGTCTTTTTTCATACTCGCAAACCACGTCACATCAAGGTGACTCATCGGACATCGATTGTCTGTACCGTCTAGTGAACATAGCAACAACTCATGTGCTCTCACACCCACGTATACGCGAACGGACCTACATATAGGGAAATCGAACACAGTCAGCACCCACAGACTCGCGCGCGCGCAGGGAGCAATGAGTTTGCCAAACACTATGTCCACGGACAATTATGGAATACGTGTAGCAGCCAAACTGCGGAGGAAACACGTTCCCCCTGCCCGGACTTTCACCAAGAGACTCCCACATACGATAAATTCCCTTTTTGACTTGCTCCCATTTCGCATTACATTTATTTTTATACGTATCGCAACTATACTAAAACTTTTATTGGTGCATACACCTGATTTGTATTATGGCTGTCACCACCTACGCACTAATACAACCATGCTGGCAAACCTTGAACCTACCTCGTTTTATCCAGATTGAGAGAGACGTGCTTGTGAAGTGACCTTGAAAAAACATCCGATCCATACACGACACATGTCTGCAATCTATCAACAATCTGCAATCTATCTACGACAACAATAACAAGGGTGTTGATTCCGACAATACACTCGTTTGCACATGTGAATTGGCTCTTCAGGGGACACTTAACTAAATCTCTCGCTTTTTGGTCGAAATCTTTCGAATTCGAGTTGAAGTAGAATATAAGGTTGACGGAAACCAGGGAACCGCGCTTACTTGATGAGCTCCGAGATCGACAAAACTGGCTGTGGACTGATGGAGTGTTTTCAGCAACCTTGTGAACAGTTTCTTTTAGTAAGAGACTGATTCTTTTCTTGTGTACGACGGGATTCCTGTACCCCCCTTCTTGTTTTAACCTGAACGTGAACTGCTCTTTGACCTTGTCATAGCGGGTCTAGTCGATTCAGTCACGTGGGTTTCGAAACTTTGTAGCTATTTTGTCTTGATTCAGAATGAGATTTTGGAAGGTTCACTGTTTTCTACCTATCTATCTGCACAGGATCCAATTAGGAATCAACGACACCTGAGTCTGTATAAAAGCCGACATAAACCCACGGTTTGAGGTTTGTACAATTTAGTTATTTTCTTATTGTTTTCATAGTACCGCATTTATTGATAACTCTCCAAATGAATGAGTTGACTGTTATGGTTTTACATGTAACTGAAAGTGGCCCACCAGATTGCTGGATTGCGAGACCAAAATGAAGAATCTCAAAACAAATTTTTAGAATTTCTAAGGTTCACTTTCGACAGGATGGTTGCTGGACTAGCCGAAAGCAACTTATTCAGAGGGATTGCCCAATGCACGTGAAAGGAAGTAGCCGCAAGGGACATAAATGGATTACAGAGCGAGAGACGGTGGCAATAAATTTAGTGAAACAATACAAGAAACTCCTCTGGTACTTAGTACTAACTCACTGTGATAAAGCAGAGGACCAAAAAGCTGTAGGTTGGCAAAAAAAATAACGAAAGCGCGCAGGACAGTCGTCATCGAAATCACTGAAGGCTTCACCTATTGTTGGGGGCAAACAGAATATTGCTAGGAACAAAATTGGACATGCTCTCTGTTGTGTTTGGAGTCAATTTCTGTGGACTGACCGCAAACTCGATCGATTCACTGTGAGTCGATATCGATAAATAAGGTGGGACAGACCCCGGGTGATTACGTCATGTTTGCTTATGTATGTGTGTGTGTATTGTTTGAATAAAATGGTATAATCACTTCAGTCAGTTCAAGGCAAAAAACGATAATAGTGCGGATCTTTCCTGGCGCGACACAGCAAACGTTTGATACGGCCACGTAACTCCGAAACTTGACTACCTTCTGGTTTGACTAACCCTTGGCCGTAACCCTGTTGATGTAGAAAACAGGAGATTGAAGGCATTTTATAATGAGCGGTGAGTATGAAAACACTGCATGCATTGTACAGTTCTCACCGGTTATTTTGACATTTGCACAAAGGATTTCGGTAATGTCGAGTCATCCTAACGGATCACATAAGGAAGGAAGCCAGGAAGAACTTGGGGTATCTCACCGTGCTAACTGTTCTTTTCTCCTCATGGAAACCAGTCTTGCAGTAGTGTTTTCCTGGTAGCGTCAGGATACTTCAGATGCGCACAACTTGTCCTGCGTCCACTGGCAGTCACCAAATGTGGGAATGTGAGTCACATTTAAAACAATTTTTTGTGAATACTGCAATCAGTAAACCGCTTCAAGATGGTTGGCGTCTTAGCGGTCTGGCGACCCTTGGCGTAACGCTGTCTGTATGAAGTCTGATTGGTTGAGACCATGTGGCTTCGCAGATAAGAAGTTTGATTTTAGACGAGTTTCTCCAACGATCTCTTTACACTACAAACTGCCTCCTGCTCTTCAAACGTTCCCCGTAGCGAGTGCTGCCTCCTGCTTTTTACGAGATCACCTTTTATTACCCGAATTAATTTCGGGCAGTCAAAACATTTCGTGCCCGTTGTGTGGAGTTACAACCTTTCCACTCTACTCCACCTGGCTATACTATCCTATCCTGTGCTGTCATGTTCCATTCCATCATGTACCTCACTATTCTAAGCTAGCCTGCACTGTGCCACATCACACCATACTTTACTATACCAAAGTATACCAAAACATATTTTATTACAATATTATACTACAGTACACAATACCAGTACTATACAATATTACAATATAGTATACTATGCTGTACCATATCACACTGTGGTCTACTGTACTACGCCATGCTGTAACACGCTGCGTTATGCCTTAGGACGAAGCTGGCAGCATACTGCGATCCAGATGACAGACTAATGCCCGCTTACTTCCCAAGAAGATACCACCAGCCAACCGCGTTTGGTGACATTGGAGGGGATGTTAGTCGTCACCATCTAGTGAGATCTTGAAGCCTCTTGAAGCCGAAAACCCTCGTAAACAACCATTACGGTTGAAGCTATGGATAGTACTGAATTGTAACGAAAGAGCCTTAAAGATGAGCTCTTGAAGCCCATAGGATAGAATTTTCGGTCCTCATGCCCTGTCCCGTTTGGCACAGAATCGATAAGTAGTGTCGGAGGGTGCAGAGATCTTGAGGTTCCTTAAGCTACCCCTTTCATCTCGGAAAACTGACGGATGCCAACAGCCTACTGAAGCTTAGTTCATCGACTTGGATGACAGACATCCACCTACTTTAAACAACAGATAAGTTGAATTTTACCACATATGCACTGAATAAGGTGGATATGTGTCAAAAACAGTAAAAACGGTTTAGTGCAACTATTTCGTCAATGTCTATACTACCTATAGCACACGTCTCTCAGTAGTCTGCTGTTTCGTCGAGTTTGAAAGCAGGTTTATGCATTTCGCGCGTGCGCAGCAGATAGCATTCAAGGAAGTAACATCTAGTCGAAACCACATTTCATTGCCCGAAAAATTCACATGCACCAGAACAAGACACGATGGGCAAAATATACTGTGAATAGACACGTGTTCAGGGTCATGCGTGATTTCAGTCGGATTATGTGACCGTGGTAAATTTTCACAGTTTGTAGTTCAAACTACTGACAAGACCAAAGTTATCGCCTCATGTTTTAGGTACTGTGGCAGCTACAAGGTAGAAAACTGAGTTTGGATTCAACCTGTACAATGCCCAGAAGAAAGCTCGATCGATAATCCGTTTGTTTCGAATTCCTTTGAAGACGAGTTTCTTTAGAGCATCAACGACCATTTACACAGGTAAACAAACTTTCTGTGTTTGATGAGGTTTTCTCATTAATTATTCGCCATCACCTGTGACGAACTGAATTCTGGTCATTATGATTTGATAAATAAACGTTTGTTACGCTCTCGTACCCCCACCCAACGACCCCTGGTGTTTGCAAATTGTCCTCGTTCCATCACTAACGTCCACACAGCCTGCTCCAATTGTTTACTATTGATTATTGTAAGTACAAAACTGTTTATTTGTGAAGCATTACTGATAAGGTTGCTGAAAACTCTTCGACAGACCGGTTTTGCCCTTCTTGGGGCTCATCAGGCAGGCGCAAAACTGTTTGTTCACTGCTTCATTCATAAAGAGAGAAGCACCATTTCTGTTGACATATTGCCCCAATTCTTAGGTGAAGGACCTTTCCGTGAAGCAAACTTTTGTTGAAAAAATTTACGCTGAGCAAGGAATGCTGCATTGTTAAACACTCCGTGCTTTCCAGATATCAAATTTGGTCTAGATTGAAACTTATTCACAAATGATGCGAATAAGTCTTCTGTAGATGGCATACACGGCCTTCTCAGATGATATCTGTGTGCGCTTTATGCGGTTGTTCAACTACTGCTATCCTGCGGTTTCGCTCAATTTGCATGCGAACTGACGGTCGGACAGAATGCACCCAATCGTTCGAAACAAATGCGATTCCTCATCCTGCGAGCTAACCACTTTTTTAGCTCTGAGACCGTCCCATTGAACGGAAACAATGGGGCGAAATCCAACCATCACACAGGATGCGCGTATTCCCTGTTTCCCGGAGAAGCGACCCGAAGTAAACCGGAAATTGAAGTCTGGCTAAATCACCCAGTGGACCGAGCCATGACAATGCATTAAAACATTGCTTAATAGGAGAGACCAACCAACGCAGTTGGGACAACATACAACACGTGTTTTCAGAATGAAGGAAGCCACGTATGGAGTCTTCGTATGTCCGAATGCACACCGCGAACTTAAAATCCAAGGAATTTCCTGTCTTTACATAAGCGTTCTGTCTACACCAATCAGCAAGCTCAGAAGAGGGACCAATTAAGGTTCTTTCATGGCTGAGCTCAGTTCATGCTGTCGTTTAGAAGGTCAAGAAATCCAGCTGCCACGGTGGATGGGCGCAGTATGATATATCTCAACTACATTACTTCAGGATGAAAAGCAGTGTTAGATGGTAGGATCAAAACCAAGACGGTAAATCTGAGTTACGAAGATTGGGTCTGCACAAAGACCTGCCTTGGTAGACATTAGGGTCCACGATTTAAATGTATACGTTTTTTAAAATGAGATAATATAAGGCTGTGAAGCGAAGCACACTGCTCAGCTCTCAAGGCCTACTTCCAACTTCCCTTCATGTGTTTGATTGCAGTTGAGTTTGTGTGCTAATTTCTAGGTGAATAGTGTGGAGACACACTGACATTTAGCCATTAAGGTAGAGCGTTTCGGTCTTAATCGTGTTTATTTTTGTGTTTTTGATCAATACCAGTGAACTATGGCATGAACGTCTGTGCTAAAAAAAAGTGTGCAGACAAGTGTCGTTTGTCTCACATCATACATTTGTCTACTAATCTCTTCACCTTTCGATGAGTCTTCAGCCCTTCAATTTTCCGATGTAGGAGTCCTAACTACTGAAATCTACTTATAAATGGCAACTAGTAATCACTGATACCCTCAATGATAGTACAATTCATTTTAGGCAGTGGCTCATCAATACAACTTCGTGTGACCTAATGCTCTGAGAGGTAACCAAGGCCAGCTCTTATACGAGCTTCCGCCCTTGAAAGTTAGGGAATGGTGGTTGGCCGGTAAGTATTAGTGAAGGTGTAGTAAAATGATGGTTCTGCATCTTTACGAAATAGCTCCCGTCGTCATTCCCCCTAGTTATACCAGATGCAAACTAAGCCTAGGGGACCGAGCGACTCATCCTGCAGAATTTGCTTCGTCTCACGGTGGGAATGCCGGCAGCTTTTAGATGATTGCGTTACTACTCTAAATGAATTTGAGTAGTTACAATTTGTAGCATAAGTAGGGGGAGCATCCACGTAGACCCAACATCTGTCTTGATTCGTACGACTAAATGGAACTAAGTGGCTCACAAAATCCACTGTTACATGGCAAGATAGAGAGTTGAAAATATACTAATCTATATAGTGAGTGACTGACATGGAGGACTGTCCTTAAGAACCGTAGTTTAGCGTTCATTGACATGCCTCTTGGTAACAACTCAATATTGTCATGTTGCTAAAGTTCTTCCTAGGTGAAGAAGCGACTGGACGATTTGAACTATAAGCCAAAATACTATAAAGGATGAAGTGGTTTCCTTGGACATCCAAATACGTTATGGTTCTAGATACCTGCCAGTTGGGTCTTCCATCTGGTTACAAAAGATACACCTGTGGATTACGCATCCAAATCTGCTTACTTTGATTTCAGATGTCCTTCTTAGTCTACACAGCTGGTCACATATTCAGATAGTCTCACGTTTAATCCGAATATCTAGTAAAATCTCCAGTCAATCATTCGGCATCGGGCAGGTTCTTCGTAGGTATCGAGGAATAAGCGGACGATGTATTTGGACTATTCACTAACCTTCAGCTAGATTACTGTTTCAAACAGCCAGTTAGAACAAAGATCAAAAGTAACAACCAAATCCTGTGACCTGTTCCTTTTTGAGTGTTCCCCTCAAACTCGGAAAACTATGGCATCGAAATGATTGTTCGAAGTAGATGTAATTTAGCATCGCTAAGAAATTATCAGTAAGAGATATTAATTAATTCTACTGTATCGCGCATTTGTATCTTTTGCCATTGAATGACCCGCTGAAGACGTATGCCGCTCCAAACTATCGAGCATGTAAAGTTGAGCCAAACCAGGCCAATTCTAATCAATCCGAGTCAAGTTAAACCAAAATGAACATCCATAGCCGTGTAGCAGAGACTGCTGCAGTGTTGCTTGATTTTTATCGGCTCTTGGTGCCTCCCGTTGTGGTACTATGCGATGGACAATTTCATAAACCGAGCAGGTCCTTTTCTCGCTTCTAGGGCTCATTACCTAGGGAGAGTATTTCATTGATAAAAAACACCCCATGAGGGAAGTATCCACCTGATCTATCCAAGTGCCACCTAGTTTACTTATAAGAATACGCAGGTTGTCCGAGTGCCCAGCTGATGATTCCAAATAAGGATGACATAGCTGTACAATGCTTCTCGGCCTTTCAGGATAAATTGGTCCCAATTACAGGATGAAAATTACACAATCCCCTCCACAGTGCGTTAATTTTCAGCTTAGCTTCAGGTCAGGTGAAATTAGCTAATAAAAGCCCTCGGAAGACCGATATGTCTTTTAACGGAATATTGAATCTTGTGCTGGACCGATGGCCAGGCATTCCAACCTAGCAGGACGCTTATCTCCTGCAGCCCAACGAAGTGTGCAGTCATCTGTTACAATCCGTTGGCAGCACAGTAAAACGGTGAGCCTGACCAAACAAATCAGGTGACCGGCATGACCAACAGAGCAATTCCGACCATGAATCTGTAGCGCATGGTGCTACATGCCGAAATGTTGGTCATTCGTTTGGACTTGCTTACTTTAGTCATCGTAATGCAAGATGCATATGGTGTTTCGACCGCGTAATGACTGAGCCTAGTTAATGAATACATCAAAACTGTCTCTCCAGCTTGGTAACTCGAATAACAGGTGCGACGCAATGGTGTCCACGGAGCACAGAACTCACATGCTGCATGCTGTCACCCCGATCTCGGAAACCTCTGTGCATACTCGACAGCACAACAAACTATTTGTATCGCGTCCATCAGGCCACCCAGGCTACAGGCAGCCACATTCAGGATCCTGATCGGGAAGTCCACCGCTACTGATCAAGCAGACTTTTACAGACGCAGGAATGGAACGCCTTACTCGATTCAGATGTGCCTCAAGCTGGTGTATTACCGCGTGCATTCATGAGGCCTGACAGAACAATATTTGAATGCACTATCAAACAGTGCAAAAGAACGGGGCTTAAAAACTGACTGCGATCGAAAATTCTGACCATGGAACACGTTATCAGCAGTGCCCAAGGAACATTTGCAACATATTTCTGGAAACGACTTGTATTGCTAAAGTCCAAGGTGCTTTCACTTCGGAGTTTTAACGCTAGTGATGTGTTTCTACCCAAGATAGGTCGCCTTGAGTTACGTTCGTCTACTTGAGTTTAACCAAGCAGAACACAAGGTTGACGGAAACTCGGGGACTGCGCCTACCTGATGAGCCCCAAGAAGGGCGAAACCGGTCGTGGGCTGTCGAGGAGTTTTCAGCAACCTTGTGAGTAGTTCCCTTCAACCATATACTGTTTTATTTGGTGGTGGAGGTTGCCCTGCGTTACTTATCGACACATGATCCACATCGACGCGAACCGATGGCCAACATATTTGGACTTTTGCGTCGGAGTGAGTCATCAATGACATAAAAAACAAGCACATCCGTATGTGACGGTTTGCGCCGTACCGTTACTGCATGATCGTGCTTTTCAGGACGCGGTCATCAATGACATAAAAAACAAGCACATCAGTATGTGACGGTTTGCGCCGTACCGTTACTGCATGATCGTGCTTTGTCAGGACGCGCCCAGACATGAAAAAAAACACGTGCGGAGAATGACGTATCCCCAAGGTCGTCATCGGTACTACACGTTCCGGGTAGGAGGTGCGTTGGCGGAGCTCACCGAACACGGCTTGGCAACATACGATCAGTGGAGTGGGGCTGAAATCCGTCTCGACCGGAACACCACCATCGGCTATACAGAACGAACAAGTGAACGATCATATTTGGCCCTGTAGTCGTCCTATATATTACGCAGACGCTCTGTATGTTTTGTCCTGACAATACAGTCGTGTCCAGGGTTGTCTGTCAATAGACAGCCACCCACGATACAACTTGCTTTCAAAGACTTTATCAGCCAATCACAAGGTGCATCGATTTACTGAGATTGACCGCGTTGTTAGATGAGTTTCGCAACCTCGGCCTTCCGACAAACGGCTGGATACTCGACCGTTCGATAATGAACGGCTCAGCAGTAGTGTGATGAGCTCTCCGTCAGACGAAGCGTTAGCGCCGATCATCCTTTAGTCACAGAAACCAAAACAGACACGGTCACATATTAACCGGTGTTGTATCGTGGGTGGCCGTTTATTGGTTACGCCTTCACTGAGCCTGCCAGCCCACGCGATAAGGAGAAGACAGAGAACCCTGGACACGAGTGTATTGTCAGGACAAAACATACAGAGCGTCTGTGTAATATATTGGATGACTACAGGGCTAAATATGGTCGTTCACTTGTTCGTTTCGTACAGCCAATGGCGGTGTCCGGTATTGAAACAATTTCAGCCCCACTCCACTGGTCTTATGTTGCCAAGCCGTGTTTGGTGAGCTCCGCCAACGCACCTGCTATCGGGAACGATGATGACCTTGGGGATGCGTCACTCTCCGCACATGTGTTTCTTCCATGTCTGGGCGCGTCCTGATAACCGGATTCTCGAACAACTATTTCTCAGCCGGAAGTTTCACTCATCTTTCGGAATTACTCTTCATTGAAGCCATCAGTCCATCGTTGGCTGACAGGACAAAATCCTAACTGCGTACTACGTAACTGTGTTCAAATGTCAAGATCGGTTGTTTGGATGTTATAAGCCTCATAGAATTTTGCCTAAATTCTTTGCTAGTCTTTTTGTTCCAGAGAATAGGCAGCAGTTTGAATCTCCCCTTTTTCAATGGACACACCGAGAGGACTATCTCGAAACTTGGAAGGGACAGATATCAAAGACAACACGCAATTGTGGGCTTCAACCTCTCTCCCGTCACTTTGCGTTCCCAAAGTTCCCAGGCGTCTGTGAAGAATTCTTATCCTACGTACTGGAGCCCCCCATCACGTGACCTCTATATTTCTTACCAGCGTCGTTTGCGGACTCCGATAGTACAAATCAGTTTCCAGAGGAGAGGTTTCAACAGCCGGACCATGGGAACGAGGGATTGGTGAATCCCGCGCACTAACATTCCAGCGAGATATGAGACGATATGTATTGTATTACCCCATAGAGTGAAGCGTGCAACAGCGAGAGAAAACATGAAGCGTTACATGCCGGTCATCCAACATACACATGGAACAGGACATTAGCCATATTGAGCAGATATGCCGAGATGATGGTAGAGTGCACAGGGAGAAGATAAGACAGGCAGTTAGTTGAGGCCAGGATGATATGCGCAATGGTTGAGTAGAGAATGCTAGAGAAACAGCTTGGATAGTTTCGGTCCCCAACTTCGAAGGGTCATGGAATAAATGAGTGGAAATACATGGCTGCAGTATGCCAGTTCGTTTGGTCAAACGTACGGCCTAACAGATTAGCTTTCCAATATTCATGCGTATTACGCAGACAAAAAGTGGCTAAAGACGCCGAAAAATTAAATACTGAATGCTTCCCCAGGCCTCCAGGTTCGTAGGGGGCTAGCTGAGCTATGGGGTGCAAGACAGACCACAAAACGTGTCTACGAGTTTCTGACCTCATTCATTCGAAAGATTTAATAAGTGGTCCATAGGCTGAGTACAGCATTTCCGGTCAGCTCATGAACTGGCACATGGATTTGCCATATGATGCACCACAAGCCGAAGCATACTTAGAGAACTGGGATTCAAACATGCCTTTTGATCCATATAGTTAGCTGACGGGTGAATATGCTGCATCTATCAATGCGGTGGCTAACAGCGTCACATGAGCTGGGACTAGGAAAATAAATGGCATCACACCATGATTTCAACTGCTCCAGCATACTGACTACATACTGCTTTAACATATTAACATGGCACATTCTGATTGTGCCACGGGGTATTATCATTTGTGAATATAATGACTGCCTTAGAGTAATTCGGCCCAAATCGAGAGGACTCTGTGTTTGCCCTAAAATAGGAGCTGTCGTTCCAAATAGGGTGGGCCGGTGAGCTGATATCCAGTAAACACGGTAAAATGACAATTAACCTCTGATTGGTTGGTTTTGGAGGTCAAGATGACCTTCTCCATCGGCATTAGCTGATTGGCTATTCATCTACAAGCCCTGCGATCGTGTAGCTTTACGTGACCTTGACAGCGTTCGAGGCTGAATTGCCTTTTGTGTTCTGCAGGTAGCATGCTTACCAGCCATCACTTTCAGTCTGTCATGCCACTAAGAAACGTGCAGTTATTTTAGGCAGCAACATTTTGACAAAGGGGAAACTAACTTTTTCCTTATCTACTCCGTTAAAATTGCAAATGGAAAATGAAAAGAGCGATGCGAAAGCTACCACGAGTGGTAACATGGGTAAGTAGTAGCGTGGGAGTCCCGATGGATGAATGTTACCTGGCCATGCTCAGTCACTTATGAAAGGAATGGTAAACGCGATTGAACTCACGTGGAGGATCGACCCATTCTGTTGAGAAGAAGGAACATTTCGGTCATTAGCGCTATAGCACACAAATCCGTGTGTTTACCAATAAGCTGCAACTTATGGAGAATGCGGAAAATACCAGCGTTCCGAGTAGGGATAAGTTTAATATTTGTAATAAAATATCGTATGGCAAGTCGGACATCAGAAAAGATATGCGGATAGGATGGTTGAGAAACGTTTTATGTTGAACTTTGACTGGGGGAAGAATTTCTTTTAGGGGAAAAAGCAATCCACAGTTAAGCAATACCGAATTGCGATGCCGTATGTGAATTATATTACAAGAGCGGGCGAATGTGAGGTGACATCTACTTGCCTAGCATGTGAAGGTAGCAGATAAAACTGACTCAAGTGACGTCCAAAAATGACAACTCTGGTCCAGTTTGCGGGAGGAATTCGCGAAATTTCGGAAGCTTTGGCCAGATGGCATGAAGCCTGCTGTTCAACTCGTGGCAGTTTTAGAAAACGATAGGTCATACGCGTTCCTCCTTCACACTGTTCTGATGTAGATTTACAGGCCTTCTGTTGGAAATAGTAAGTAGGCATTCACTTAAAACCAGAAAATGAACGTGGATATGATGAACAGTCCAAAGTGTCTTCGATAATATCAGGTCAGCAGATCTTCCGCGAACGGGCATGTATTTTTAAATGCTCCTGAAACACAATTAATGATATATGTACAAAATATGATAGGGCGTGAATGAAGTGTCAGAGTAGGTGTGGTGCTGTTTGGTTGCTGGTGGAACGATCTGCACGTCAAGCGGTATGCTCGACCCCCCTCGGTTTTGTTTGTATTGAATACGGTGTGGATGTACTTGATTCAAACAACAGTCATATTGTTGTAATCGATAGTTAACCCATCGGGGTCGTTGTCACGTGTTCCGTATCCAGTATACTCCTAAGATGGAGTGTTCATTCCTGTGTGTACATGCATCATCTTTGGAGTGAATTCCATTACGATGTGATGATCGTGAAGTTTCATCCCAACATACATTTTGAGGCAATTTACCAGTCACAGACCAGATTACCTATGGACTCAAAGAAATACTTGGTGAAGGACTTTGACTATTTACATTATCGTCTCTCCCCACGATTTTAATATTTTTTTAAAGTAGTGAGGATATTTGTCCCTGTATCATGAATTCTGCGGATTATATAGAATCTTAAAGCTTTTGTGCGCTCCTCTTTGATTATACAGGCGAGCTGGTCATCCTCGTGTGTCGACTTCTTGGATGGAAACCGCGTGAGATGTTCTAAACAACTCACTATCACTGACACCAACCCACACGAGCTATGGTTCTGAGACAACGATTGTCGAACACCTGTAGACGTCTCAATTCCGCTGCTCGAATAGGCCAAGTCTCACAGCCATACAACAAAACAGCCTGTAATGTAGGTTGACACACACGTCCTTTGAGATTCAAGGATAAACCACTTTGGCACCATAGGTGTCTTAAATTAGCAAACACGGCCTGAGGCTTGCATTTTCGTGCATTCACCTCATCTGTCACACTACAATCAGAAAGAAAACAATTTCCAAAATAGGTGAAACGCTTCACAACTTTCAGCACCTCTCCCTGGATTGTAAGTGGCGTGTTCAGTGACTGCAGTCCACGAACATGACCTTACAATTTGTAGGTGCAAAGGGCATACAAAAGGATGGGATGACTTTGGTCAGTTCATCCAAAAAGACCTGCGCCTTCAGCGTTCGTCTCATTATTTCATCGATCACGAAGTTAAAAAGGGATGGAGAGAGTGGGCATCCCTGACGGACACCGCTTTGTGTGCGGAAGCTTTTGGAGAGCTCTTCGTGCACTCTCACACGTCCGGAATTCTGAGAATACAAAGAACGAATTGTGTTTACAAAATTCCGGGGGAAGCGCGTCAATAAGAACAGACGGATCAACCGAATCAAATGCGCCTCGGACTTACATAGACTTATTTGTCCGTAAAATATCACCAAAAACTGAGGGAATGATTCTCCGTTGGCCCAAGGATTGGTGTTATCGATTAATTTCAATCCACTAGCTTGCTTCATTATTCTCTTCAACGCTGCATTGATCGTTCCAATTAACTGAAATTGGCTGATTTTACAGTACTGCCTGTTCGCTAGAAATTCCCATGGTGAGCAGTAAGTATTAGAGTTTCTTGAAACCCTTCCGTTCTTATCGCCACAATGCATGTTAAAAGATTCAGCCCAGAAGAAATACACCCCTCGGGTCCTCCGAACAGTCGGGAGAAGGTTGAAACATTAAATGCCCTATCCTGATTTTTAGGCACAATTCTGCACCCAAATGGCTTGGGCGCTCGATGACGCAAACCGATTCCAGCTGGTGGTCGACAGTTATGACTGCTGATGGGCTCCAGTAAGATTGGAACTTGAGTCCAGTGCATACACTCCTGTTTGATGTGGACTCGCCAGAATTATTGCGCCAGGATGAAGTCATGTTGGTACGAGTTCCACAAAATCCCGCAACCATCAACACCTGAAACAAGAGCTGTCCAGTTATTTCTAAACGTTTGTGACGCTGCCCAAGAATTATTGAGTGGTAGGTCAATCCAATGCGTCACAACCAAGTTTGTCGTTCAAGGCCTCGGGTTTTCCGCTCACACCACTCAAACACGAAGATATTCATCTGTTCACATGTAAACATTCAGATGCATCCAGTGGAGTAATACGCTTGCTTCGCAAGTCAGATGCGCGGAGTTCAAACCCTGGCACGGTCAATCGATATGCACTACTGACGAGCTCCAATAAGAGCAAACTTGAGTCCAGTGCCCCCCCCCCCCATCGGTGAAGACTCATCAGAATGATTGCACCATGATAGGAGGGCGATTGTTCAAACGATAGTGATATCAGCGTGAATTAACACACAGTTACCCAGTGTGCTTGTCCTCGGTTGAACCTCTCGCTTTTCATAGACGTTCAGTTGGAAACAAGGAAACGCTAGTACCAATGGAGTCATGAATTGTACAAACAGACCAATGAATGTGGATAGGTTGCACAGGTACACACACACACACACGAGCACACGCGTATCATGAGTTTGAACGTGAGAAACTCACCGGCTAGCCAACTGCTGATACTTTGATTCGATACGATCCTCCACCGATGTCGGGGCCGCTGCCATATCGATACCCGAATACCGGTCCAACAGTCTTCGGTGTTCGTCCATTTTTCCTTGCAAATTGCGAAGCGAGCCACGCATCTCCCTGTAGTATTCCGGTGGAGGCAATTTGTATTCCAGCAGATCATCATCCATGCGGCGCTACGGAATCATAGTTGATGTGGCAGGCACACAGACACAAACAGACAAGGAATGTAGATGTGCGTTCCAGAATGCACGCACATGTATGCGATGTGTATCAGAAAAGTGGGTGGAATGAAGGTGACCTCGAAAATCAAAAATGTTCGCATGCGATGAGGATACAGTGGGCATCGCGACCAGCCCATCCCAACTCTGATCAGATACAAAACTGGACTGAGTACTTGAAGCATTCGATTTGGTGAATGATGCCCAAGAGAACATGCACCAGAATACAGGCGAGACAGTTACTAGGGTTATTAAGAGATGTCATTGGTGGGCCATCGCATCAAGAAACATATCCCTACCAAATGTCATGTCAATCCAACCGCGTTGATTAAAGCGCATTTACATTGCGTGTGCTTGCGATCTGATCAAGAAATTAGCATAATTAATCTACCAAGAGGAAGTTTTGCCTCTGCCAGCGGCGGAAGACTTTCGAGCTTCAAGAACTCAAATTTTCAATGCTCACGGTCGCCAATTTGAGTCAATTACAATGACGGTTCTGCACAGGGGGGAATTGCCCTCCAGGATCCGAAACGGCCTCAACAAAAAACTGATTTTTACCCGTGTCACGTGTGTCACGTTTGATTCATTCGTCAGTAGTCTTGCATTTTCCCAGTTCAGAAACTGTAGGGTTCCGCATGTAACCGACTGCAGATACATCACCAAGAGAACGAGAGTTTGACAAAGTTTTGTGTTTGTCACCGATGAAAACGTGACACGCCGTAAAACCACATCTGCAATAAAAGCGCCATCTATGTTCTCATTGAGCTCAACTGTTCAGTCGTGCATAGTTAAACGGATGTTCATGGACCACAAGTTGAGCATACTGATGGCTTCAGAAGTTCCTCCTTTTGTTCACCCTCTGGAAGGCGTTTAGGTGGATATAGATGAAACTTAGCACAAAATCCATGTGGAATTACTTATTCTGCGAAGTATTCGTCGGCGTAGTGCGATGGAAGAGACCAATCAGCAAACGGATGGCAGTCACCATCTTTGTTTCGCTTACACACTCCTCTCACAGCTAAGACTGCAGCATTCACATGATACTCAGGCACATTTCTAGTCCAAACGCGACGCAGTTCAAGACATCCATAGGTCCAAACACTTAAGGAAGTTCAAGCCTTGCGTCCACAGTTCTGTCCGTACTCTACGGAACAGCCAAGCACTGAGAAAATAGACTTGACGAGCGAGGATAAAAAACCTTCACGTGAAATTACTCACTCCAAACTGGTCTGAACCATTGGTTCGGTTCGTCATGCGGCTAAAGGTGATTTTGTCATACTACATGTGTTTGTTCAGTCGGTGGTTTCCCTATGTCAGTTCCTGTACGTTATGTTATCCATGTGTTTTAGATTTCAAGGTCGCTCTTCTATGTAGAGTGGCCCCGTATTTGGTCTTCCTTGAATATACGGTTCCTCGATTCCATGATGGATGCCAATTCAAGAATTGGCTGTAAGTCTTCCACCTGCTTTCAGTGGTCTATAGAATCACACAATGCTTCGAGAATCCTCATCTTCGTTGAATGTAAACAACGCTTTAGTAATTCCATATCACATGAGTCAATTTTTGTATCAGTTTATCCTTCCTTATTGATGTTCTTGTTCTTATCAACTCTTTTCCTGGGTTGTATGTGCAAAACATGGACTAAGTAAGACTAGGTTCCAGTGTTGGTGTATTTAGTATATTTGGTGTTATTGCGGTGCGGTCAACGAAGCCGAGTGCCAGCCGACTTGATACACATGACACCAGCCCAGCTATTCTGATTTCGGGGAAAAACAGTCAGTAACTGGAAACTCCTGAGACATGACGCACGCTCAGGTTCGATATCGCTTGGAAATTCATCTCATTTGTACCAGAAAAGTGTATGTCTTATTTCAAGCATCCAGGATGTATTTTTTGAAACTTATCAATGAAATTACATCCGGAATCGTCCGTGACACTACGTGAGATATGTGTCTAAGTCATTTCAGTAGTAAGGGTCGTTAAGTACTACTAAATATAGGGTAGAAAAAATACTCTTTGGGAATGCCTGGCGAATACCAGTCCCGACCGGAACAGTGAGGCTGAACTGACCCGCGAACTTGCATATATGCCCTGTGGAATGGAAGCTCATGTGGGGTGCCCATGATACCACGAAGTTCGGCAAACTGTCCCATGTGATTTGCTCTGAGTCTGGCAGTTGCGAAGCAGTGATATCTCTCAGTGATATCTTCAACCTGCCAGCTAGCACCTGTGTTGCGGAATTTGTGGAGCCGCTTTGTAACACTTGCTTGGATTTGAGCAATGAATATCCAGAAAAGTTCAAGAAGACGCGTTCAGGAGAAGATGGATATCCAGTTTTTGCAAGTAAGATGCAAATCACATGAGTCAATTTTTGTATCAGTTTATCCTTCCTTATTGATGTTCTTGTTCTTATCAACTCTTTTCCTGGGTTGTATGTGCAAAACATGGACTAAGTAAGACTAGGTTCCAGTGTTGGTGTATTTAGTATATTTGGTGTTATTGCGGTGCGGTCAACGAAGCCGAGTGCCAGCCGACTTGATACACATGACACCAGCCCAGCTATTCTGATTTCGGGGAAAAACAGTCAGTAACTGGAAACTCCTGAGACATGACGCACGCTCAGGTTCGATATCGCTTGGAAATTCATCTCATTTGTACCAGAAAAGTGTATGTCTTATTTCAAGCATCCAGGATGTATTTTTTGAAACTTATCAATGAAATTACATCCGGAATCGTCCGTGACACTACGTGAGATATGTGTCTAAGTCATTTCAGTAGTAAGGGTCGTTAAGTACTACTAAATATAGGGTAGAAAAAATACTCTTTGGGAATGCCTGGCGAATACCAGTCCCGACCGGAACAGTGAGGCTGAACTGACCCGCGAACTTGCATATATGCCCTGTGGAATGGAAGCTCATGTGGGGTGCCCATGATACCACGAAGTTCGGCAAACTGTCCCATGTGATTTGCTCTGAGTCTGGCAGTTGCGAAGCAGTGATATCTCTCAGTGATATCTTCAACCTGCCAGCTAGCACCTGTGTTGCGGAATTTGTGGAGCCGCTTTGTAACACTTGCTTGGATTTGAGCAATGAATATCCAGAAAAGTTCAAGAAGACGCGTTCAGGAGAAGATGGATATCCAGTTTTTGCAAGTAAGATGCAAACGAGAGTTTTGCTTCCCTGTCCAAAAGTCTGTAACCGGTCAGTTGGCATTTTCTAATAAATAACTCCACAGGGATACTACTCGCATGCCTCCCCACCAGTAGTATCACTGTTACACCTTAACCGGACAATAAGGCTAAAAGAGGGCTTCACTCCCCTGTCCATATTGGCTGCATGTTAGCATATGGGGCTAGACAAAGGAGCATCGCATATAGTGTGAACCAGTAACAGAATGCGAGATGGCATTAGGGAAAACGTGCCACGTAGAGAATGTTGCTGTTACCCCTCTCTGATGTTTTCAAAGCTCGCCTATCAACTTCACACCATCCACCGCAGTTTTCGCTCCATTCTACTCGGAAAAAGTTCCACCTCATCAATCAAGTGACCATCTTCGGAATAGGTAACACGACAGTAAATAGGAGTACCGCTTCTCTCAGAGAGTTGTGTAAGACCTGCGCATGCAGTGTATTTCGATCAGTTAGAAGTCGTATCAACAAACTATTCACAACAGATAGACGCCACGAATTTTCTTGGGTTCTCACGAATCGTTCCACTTCGTGTACAGAGAAGTATTGCGTAATCCAATACAAGTACGTTGCGTCTTCAAATTGGTTATCGGCACTAAAACGTAATGTTTTTCAGCTTTTGGAATCGTCCATGTGTGCAGTGTGAGAATGATATATACATCTGCCAAAACCACCGTGACGAGACCCAACTGTCATTCGTCTGTTCAGTACAGATCAATCATCTTTCGACTGCTGATCTTGAAAACGTAGATGACACCAGATTATGAACTAACATTGGCAAAGCTAACGAATCTCACCCTCGGTGGTAGGTGAAACTTTGATACGGATGACTGTCTCCACCTGCGTGAAGCCACCCATGCTCCTTAATACCCTGGTAGGAGGCGAAATGCTTTTGGGCATCACTAACGCCAGGGGAGGTTTATTCTGAAATCGAACAAGGTTGTTAGGTGGGCAAGGGTTGAGGCTACATGCAAAGTGCGTATTCCGTGTTCACCCTTCCGGTAACTCGACAGTTCAGTACCAGTGGCATCGTTGGAAAGCCTTAATTCTCCGAATACGGTTGCCTAGATACCTCTGTAAAGTGAGCTGAGGAGAGAAAAATCAATCAGGATTCATCGGGACTCAGAGGCTTTAACCGCGGTCGCAGAAGTTGGCTTCTGCTGTTAACACACTCCCTGAAATGCCAGTGCGCGGTTAAATACCAACCCTACTTTGTCATGTCAGCCAATGCTGTCTATGATGTCCACCTAAACTTTGAATCGAGAAGTTTCAAAGCAAACTTGGCTTCAAGGTGTTCCAAATCAGTACCAGAACTGAATCCTTGTGTGTACAGTCTTTAGAAGGGCCAGTTGACGTCGATCATTCCATGAGGGGAAATGGTTTGAGTTTGCCGGTTAACTTAAAACTCTGGTGGATTTACAGTCTGGTATTCCATTACTATTACCAACGCTTTGTTTAACCCATCTGTTGAAAGTTTTCTTTAGTTACCAGGAAATTGACGGTTTGTGTAGTGTATGTGTAAATTTTCGAAAAGCCTTACAGGATCTCCACGACTGCCGTCTTGCCGGAACTCATAACTAATAAGGTTGGTGAAAACTGTCGACTCCCCCACCCCAATGGTTTCGTCCTTACTATCAAGCAGACGTGACCTCTCAGTTCCAGTCGACACTATACTCTGTTTCAAAAAAATCATACGCGATTAGCGCAGCTAACTCATTTGTACGATAATTTTGTTTCAACGAGAAACCCAACTGAATCCCGGCTGAAT